AGCCTGAGCGCGCACAGCCGGGCATATGGACGCATCGCGCTCCACATCTGTGTCATCAGTCGCATTTTCTGTAGATGCGAGTGCATGTGTGTGTGTGTGTGTGTGTGTGTGTGTGTGTGTGTATGTTTGGAGCCGGGGTGCTGGGAACAAACGCGCATCTGTTAAACTTGACAATAAAGTCCTACAGCAAAGCTGCTAAGATTGGGGCAGCGGGCGGGGGGCGGGAAGCACAGGGGGTGGGACGGAGCTGGAGTCTCAAAAGGCGACGGCGAAGTGCCTGGCCCAGGTATTATGTCGTCGGAGAAGGTGAGGAGAGCAGCTGCTCCTTCTCGCGGGTGTGTATGGGAGCAAGGGTGCCTGCGTCCCTCTGAAGAGTACACACCGATCTGCTCAACATATGTCGCCACAAATCACTGTATCTCTCCCTCCTCCCCGCCTCCCCCCCTCCTGAACAGAGGGCAGAGCAGAAAGAGGCGCTGAGAAGAGGCGCCGCTCCAACAGGTGTCTCCGTGCGCAATGCACCTTTTCACGCATTCACTGTCTCCATCGGCGGGAACAATGTGGACACTTTGTTTCCAGGCTCCGCGCGCAGGCTTCGGGCGCAGGGGGAGGAGGCGGCCCTGGGCGGGGAGGGGGGTCTGGAAATAAAGACCTCAGGCGCTTCTGGGGCCCCGGGCCCTCTCCTCCCTTTGTTGGAGAACTCTCTGGGCCATCGCTTCCTTGTGCGCCCTTGGGGGTGGCATATGGCGCCCTCTCGCTTACCCAAGAAAGAGAACCAGCCACCCACTCGAGAGCGCACAAGGTCCCTGAGCCCGGGGAGGGGACGTCTCTGAGGGGAAGGCCTCTTTCCCAAAGGGAATGAGGAGCCCGCCTTATCTCTCCCCACCCCACCTGCGCCCTCCCCTCAGCTGGCGCGGCGTTGGGTGGGGAGCAGCTCCCGGCCCAGCAGCAACAGCCTGCGGAAGCGCCCCAGCTCCCGGCAGATGAAACATGGGGCTGGTGAGCCCCTGGAGACCATATGTTTTCAATAAAAGAAGACAAATAGGACCGAGATAGGCCTTGCAGCCAACCTGTTATAAATGGGTGGCGATTGGGCCAATGTACACGGCCCCCGGGGGGGAGGCCCCGCTCGGTGCCAAATCCGTGTGTCAGCGTCTGGGACAGGTGTGCCCAGGGGCCAGGGGCCGGGTCTCCCCCCCCTCTGGGTTTATCACGGCAAAGGTAATATTGTGCTAACTATGAGTAAACAGTCATTGTGAAAACCGGGGAGAGTTTATCAGAGGCGAACTGGTCGGGGGTTGGCTTAACAATAAAGTTGCCCGCCTTGGGAGCAGGTGACGGCTGGCCACGGGACTCCCCGTGGTAGATGTTTTCCAAAGCACTTCGCTTTACAATCTCTTGTAATTATTTATTAAACGAAATCTATTTATTATTATTTTAGCAAACACTGGGGACAGGTGGGGCTTTCTTTCCGTCGTCTCCTTTTGTTTGAAGGGCTGTTTGAAGTGGCCAGTCTCGGCCCGGGCAGCTCGCTCGCCAGATTTTTGTCTCCAGCTCTTTCAGCGCCGAGCCAAAGGCGAGAGAAAGACGCCCCTCCTCTGGCAAGCCATTAGCTATTCAGCCTCCTGTGGCCCCCCTCCTCCCTCCCACTCCTTTCTCGAGGAGCCCCCAGGCACTGCTAAGATTCCCCCTGCAGATAGGAAGGCAAAAGGGCCGACCGCTGCCTTCCTCCTTTTCCAATCCGCCCGCCGGCTCTAGGCGTCAGGCTGTCGCCTCTCTCCTGGGCCCCCCTCAGCCTCAGGCAAGCCGGGACCCCAAAGAGTCCACGGGCACGGAGGTCCTGGAGGCACCAGAGGTGGTAGCCGGCCGGGGTCTTCAGGAACAGGCTCTGCTCCGCCGCTTCCAGAGCGGACGCACAAACACCTCTGGCGCGCACTGAGTTGTCACAGTCTGCGCCCCAGCCGGCACTGACTTTGGAGAGGGGTCTGTGCATCCTCTTTAGCAGAAAGGGAGGGCGGAAATCCTCAATGTCTGATCCCCTAGGACTCCTCAACCTCCAGCCTCGCCTCCCAGGCCAGGAGCCGGGGTGCGGAGGGTTCTCTCCCGCTGCGAGGTGACAGCATCCCTGGGCCGCTGCGCGCTCCTCACCTTGCTCTTTGCGCAAAGCTGGGGAAGTGGCGGCGGTGTCCGGAAGCCTTGGAGAGCCGTGAGTCCAAAGGACTCTGGGGAAGCTAGATAAGAATTCTAAGCCGGTCCTAGAATTTCCTCCCCACAAGGTTTCCAAGAATCTCCAGAATCTCTCCTGGTGCAGGAAGCTCGCCTAAGGCTGTCTCCAGCAACCAGTAGTCTCTGGAGGCGAGCGGGAGGCCAGGCGAATCCCGCCTTCGCTTTCCTCTGAGAGCCACCACTACATGAAGTCCGGATTGCGGGCTGCTCTCTGGGCCGCCCCGGGACACACAGAGGTGCTTTGATCCCTTCTGGCCAGGGCTCCCCCCACTGAGTGGGGCTGGGTCCCAGGGAGCTAGGGGAGCAGTGCTTTGGGTTTCCGCTCCCCTGTTTCTAGTTTGCAGGATAGAAATCAAGCAAGGCTGTGGTGTGGGTCAGGAGAGGGAAGAGATGGAACAGGAGGGAACACTGGCTCCCTTGGCGCTGGGAGATGGGGCCACTGCCCCTTCTGCATTCTGACCCTGTCATGACTCACAGACCCACGTTTTCTATATTTGGGGGGTGTCTGATTTTGCCTTGAAAGGATATTTCCCCCCAGTCAAGGAAAGGCAGCAGGTGCAAGGGAGAATCTAGGACTAGGAGTCTCAGGACCTGAGAGTTCTGTGGCTTTGATAGAAATTGCTATGAGACTTTGGTTGACTCACTTCTCCTTTCTGGGCCTTAATTTTTCCACCTGTAAAATGGGCCCCAGGTGCTCATTCTTATAACTGGAAGGCAATTTGTAGCAAGTGCTGACCTACAGGGAAACAGCAGCAAACGGGGAACCCACGAATCTCCATGGGTCCCTGAGCCTGACCCCTGGCTTCACTTCCCTCCCAGACAGCAGGGGCAGGAAGAGCCTGCGCTCACAGCGCAGCAGCTGTGGCCCAGGGCAGCGCCCCCATCCGCACACAGTCCTGGACTCCCCACTCCCTGGCACCCCCGCTTATCCAGCCCCTCTCTGCCTGGGGAGGCAATTCCAAGCCGCCTGGGCGCGTGTCGGAGGCCATCGCCTGGGCAGTTGCACAAACTTACCTCTCCCCTCCCCCCTCCCCCCAGGTCCCTGCCCCGTCCTGCGCCCCTCCGCCAGCTTCCGGGAGGCACGTGGTCCCTGGAAATGCTGGAAAGGAACTCCTCCGCCGCCTGCAGAGGCTGAACCCCGGACCCAGCCTCCCCAGCCTCCCCAGCCTCCGCCTCCGCCCCGGTCCCCCGGGCACCTCGCGGTCAGCAGAGAGGAGCGGAAGCCGCGACCCCTCACCCTGAGTGACCGGAAGCAGAAGACCACGGGGTGTCCGCGGCGGGACAAAAGGGAGGGGCGGGGGGAAGGGAGGGGTGATGCGTGCAGCCTCACTTTAGAAGGATTGCCAGGAGGCGAGGGTCCCTGCCCTGTGCTCACCGCCTGACCCCGGTCTGACCGGCTGCAGCGGCCGGACCGGTGACGGGCAGGAGGCCGAGCGCAGAGGAGGGGCCTGCGGCTCTGCAGCTCTGGCTCACGGAGGCGATTAAGACCCCGGGGCTGCTGTGTGTGGGCTCCTGGCCTCTCCCACCCCTTTGCACCTGAGCCCCTGCCCTGCTAGGGCCCTGCCCCTGGTTGGGGCTGCAGGATGTCCCCTGGGGTGGGGGTGGGGGTTAGGGTGGGGGGTTCACCATAGCCACCCTCTGCCTCTGAGATGCCATCCACATGTCTCAGATTTAGGATGGGAGAAGAAGGCCTAAGCGCCTCCGTCCCAGAAGTTTGGGGCGTCATCTCAGGGCACAGTAAGGGGGCTCCTCATTCACAGGCAAACGTCTCCAAGGGGCAGGGACATCCGTCTCTATAGCCTCCTGGTCCCCCCCCCCCTCACCCCAGAGTGAAGAGGGGCAGAGAAACCTGCCCCGCAGAGCAGGGAGCGGGGTGGGAGGGAGGAGACACCGGAGTCCGGGGACACCTCCCCAATCTGGGAGCCCTCGCCCTGTGGCTCGGGGCAAGCGCCCCGCTCTCTGAGGCTGAGCTTCCCGCGTGTAACACGCGGAGGGTCACCCACCAAGAAGGCCGCGCCAAACCCCCTCGGGGCACCCAGAGTGGCTCTGGCCCGAGGCCCCCGGGGGAGAGCGTCCTCCTCGGGAGGCGGCTGGGGCGGCAGCCGGGAGTCAGACACGGCTCTTCTCGTCTAGGGGTGCGGCTCTTTGAGGAACCGAGAGTTGCTGGGACAGCGCCGGCGGGAGAAAGCAAACAGAGCCCCGCTCCCCTCCCCTCCCCCCCCCCCCCCCGGCCCTTTGTCCGGATCCAGCTGTGCCCGCGGGGAGGAGCGGCTCGCGTGGCGGCCCCCGGGGCGCCGCCCTGATTGGCCGGCGGCGGGCTGCGGGGGGCCGGCACGCTCCCGGCGGGGCGCGCGGATAAAGCGGCGTGCCCGGGGCACACGACTCCGCTCCGGACACCCAGGGGCGCGCGACTCCGCTCCGGACACCCGCCTGGCAGGCGCGCCAACGAGAGCTGGGAGGCCGGGACCCACTGGGCTCTTCTCCCCTTTAGGGACCCCCCCGGGCCGGGCGGCGGCTCCGGCAGCGCCGCTGAACTTGGCATTTGCAAGGCCAGATCCGCTCCCCGCTGTTCAAAGCCCGAGCTCCCACCTTTTGCACCTGAGACCGAGGTAACACCTGGTAACTCTGGGAAAGGGTTCTCTGATCAGGCGCGGGGGGAGGGGGGGGCTCTTTCTCATGCTCCCCCCCCCCCCACACACACACACGTGGCCCGGGTGGGGAGCTGCACCTGGGCGGCCCCCCACGCTCACCCGTCCTTTCTCCCCTCCCGCAGGATGGCGCCTCAGCCCCCGGGCGCGCCAGCTGTCCTCCAGGGGACCCACCAGACAGAGCGGCCCTTCCCGGTCGCCCCGAGCGCGGAGGAGCCCTGCCTCGTGTCCGCTCCGCCCAGCCCCACCCGCGCGTCGGGGGACCCCGTCGAGGCCGAAGGCAGCGGCCGCCGCGGGGCCGCCAGGAGGCTGCGGGCGCGGCGCGGGGGGCGCAGCCGGCCCAAGAGCGAGCTGGCGCTGAGCAGACAGCGGCGGAGCCGGCGCAAGAAGGCCAACGACCGCGAGCGCAACCGCATGCACCACCTCAACTCGGCGCTGGACGCGCTGCGCGGGGTGCTGCCCAGCTTCCCCGACGACGCCAAGCTCACCAAGATCGAGACGCTGCGCTTCGCGCACAACTACATCTGGGCGCTGACGCAGGCGCTGCGCCTGGCGGACCGCAGCCTGGACGGCCTGGGCGCGCCCTGCGAGGAGCTGGGCAGCCCGGGCGGCGGCTCCCTGGGGGACTGGGCCTCCCTCTGCTCCCCGGCCTCCCAGGCCGGCAGCCTGAGCCCCGCCGCCTCGCTGGAGGAGCGCCCCGGGCTGCAGGCGCCCGCCTCCCCGGCCTGCCTGCCCGGCGCCCTGGCCTTTTCAGACTTCCTCTGATGGCCCGTGGGCCGCCGGGCGACGGGTGCTGGGGAAAAGGGAGGATGTGGAGGATGTGGCAGTGGCGACGGAGGAGGGGGGGGGGGGGCTCGCGCGGACTGGCTCCTCCCTCTGGCCTCCGGTTCGCTGAGATTCTACCCCCCACCTTCAGCTCCCTCCGCGCCAACTAAGACATCCTGCCGCCGCCAGCGCAATTGGGCTTTCCGGGCCGCGCGTCTCAGGCCCCCTCCCTGCGGTCACCCCAAAACCTTCTGCAAAAAACGCTGAGAATGGTAGCACCACACAGGGGGAAGATGAGCCCCCACCCGTTTCCTGACACCCTACCCTCTCTCAGTCTGTCTGTCAGACCGACCACTGTCTCTGAGGGCTCCTCCCCCGCCCGACGTGACTGAATCCAGTCTCTGGTCTCTGCCCCTCCTCCTCCTCTCTCCCCACCCAGCCACGGGCGTCTGGCCGCCCCCTCTGCCTTAGCCCACGAAGGCGATCCACCGCCTTCTCTGAGAGCACTTTTCTGAGCCATTGCCCTGGGGGAGGGGTGCTTGAGCCCCGACTGAGAACCCTGAGACCTGGTCTCACATTCTTCTTGGGGAGCGTCTCCCCGCTCCCTCCCCCAACTCCACCTCCCTGAGACCCAGAGAGCTCGTGCCTTTAAAAAAATCATTTTGTAAATTATATGATGTCTTTTGAGATGCATTTTGGTACGGTAAATTATATGGCCCCCCCGCCCTGTTTTACACGTTGTATTTATTGATGAGATTTCAAAAAGAAAAAGAAAAACAACTGGAAAAGTCTATATTTTGTACGTAAGATTATTTGGGGTCTGGTGAGTGAGGCTGTGAGCCAATAATAAAAGGGGGACCTGTGGAAGCTGAGCCCTGTGTCTGGACAGTGCAGAGGGGAAGGCTGCGCCTCTGCGGTGGGGGGTGGGAGCCTCTATCCAAAGGGAGGGAGGGATGAGGCTTAAGACAGGCTTCCAAGGGGCTGCTCACAGGCGCTGGGGGCCCTTTCCGCTGTGGTTCTAGCCTGAATGTGGTTACTTTTGGGGGGGAAAGTGGGAATAATAACCAGTCCTATCACAGAATAGGGGCTCTCAGAAACGCTACCGGAGGGCTAGGCACCTCAGGCATTTTCCTAATCTGCCTATCATCCTAGCATCTTCTGAGCCATTTCACACGCCCAGCGCTGAGGTGGCCCGCAGTGACTCCTGGGTCTGAGCAGAGGGGAGCAGGGAAGGCAGAAGGTCCCGCTGGACTTTCTGGCACCCCCCCAGACACCTAGCAGCCTTGGCTGCAAAGTTATCAAGAAATTGTTCAAGGTTTCCAGCCAGTGGTACTTGACTCGGTAGGATGGTGCAAGGTGGTGACTGAAATGTGTTCCCGAAGTGCTACCGGAACCCCACCTCATGGCTTCCCAGGCCCCCAAGATCTCTGGGAAGCAGACAAGAGCTCTAAGAATTAGGTCAATGTGCCTGGCACCCAAGAACAGGAAAACGGAGGGCTGGCACCCCACCCAGCGCAGTGAGCCCCAGAGATCTCCTTTGGATTGGTCCTGGGCTCCTGGGGCTGACCTGGGCCAGCCTCTGGAGGGCAGAGGGAGGTCTAGAGGCTGAGACCTGGAAGTGGCTTTCCATCCCGTTAGAGTGCAAAGGTGGTGGCTTTGCAGGGGTTCATGCTTCTAGCATCTGCTTCTCTCCTGCCACCCCCTTTCAAACTGAACTTTCCCTCTCTGCTCTCCTCTTAGGTCCCCGCAGGTAGCTCGCAGGAGGTACGCTTCGGTTACTGGGGTTGTATTTGAGGGTGCAAAGGGGGACTCTGCAAACAAACTAATAAACGAAGGTGTTCTGTTTCCTGGCTTTAATCTGGGAGAAGATTAATGGGTCATTGGTGACCTCTGCATCTGCCAACTCTCCACCTGGGGCGCCCAAGGGGAGGGGGAGCAGGTGTCTGCCGCTCCAGCTGCACAGACCAGGCCCGGGCCTGCTACTCGCTGGGCATTTTGGGGAGGGTGTGGACAAACCTAAAAAGCAGGAAGGTCTATCCCTGTCCTCCAGGGACAGTAGCAAGTATGTTGACAAAAGAATTCAAGGCCCAAAATATTACTGCTGGGGGAGAAGGCTCGAGGCAGAGGCATGGGTGGGACTGTCACCTGAGGCTGGGGTGGGAGGTTGGCCCAGGAAAGTGACATTTGGGCCAGGGCTCAGGGTTAGGAGAGGAAGTCCTTAAGCAGGAAGGCCACTGGAAGGCTGTGGGGAGCGGTGCTCCAACAGGCAAAGGGCACCAAAGCTGGAGGAGTGTCTGTTGGCGCTGTGCTCCCGAGATAGGCACCCACTGCTCGATCCTCTCCTCTTTCTGAAGGTGCTCATCAGGGAGCTTTTGGTCACCCACAGCACACAGACTGTCCTCCCACCAATGAGTGTTTTAAAAGTTACGGTTTAGCCGGTGTGGCTCAGCAGTTGAGCATGGACCCATTAACCCAAAGGTTCCAGTCAGGGCACATGCCCATGTTGTGGGCTCAATCCCCAGTAGGGGGCGTGCAGGGGGCAGCTAATCAATGATGTTTCTCTGTCACTGATGTTTCTCTCTCTCTATTCTTCTCCCTCCCTCTCTAGAAGTTAATAAGAACATAGTTTAAAAAATAAAAATGATTGTTTCACCAACTCCACTCCTGGGCTGCCCCCTTGGGTCGGGGGCAGATTTGCCCCGGGGGAGCTGTCCGCTCTACTCTCATCAGAGTCAGGAGGCGGAGGAAAGGTTAGGGCTCCCCGTTGAATCACTGCAAAGTTTAGGGCTCTGTGCCCAGAAAAGAGCCTATCCATCGCTGGGGGTGGTCAGCTTCCCCCAGAGGCCCCTAAGCTAAGAGCCCCGCCCCCTCTGTCAGGGCTAGGGAACTCTACAGAAACAGCCCACCGCGGGGCCTTCGTCCTAGGGTGGCTTTTAAAATCGGGCTGCTCTCAGCGGAGCCCCCTGCGATCGGAGGTGGCCACCTGCGCCCCAGCTCCCTGAAACCCGACAGGCTCTCAAGCGGGGGCAGGAAAGACGCTGGGGAGGAACATGCTCTCCCCTCTCCTGCCTTTGTCTGGGCCCAAGCCTGGCTTCCCAGAACAACAGCAATGAATCTTGCGCCATCCCCCATCCCACCCACAACCACACAGCCTCCCCAGCCGCACACACAGCAGGTAGATTTATGGAGCCCTGCCCCCACCCCCAAACCGGCCTCCGGAGGAGGACAAAGCCTCCCGGGGGCCATTGGAATGCTAATGGCTGGGAGCCTGGCCGCGGGGCTGGCACAAAGGCAGGCGGGGCCCCAGGTGCACGCGACCCCACAGGACCCTCCTCTTCCCTCCGGGCCCCTTGGCCCGGCTTTGTGACCTTGGACAAGTCTTTGAGTCTCAGCTAATTCACTGGAGAAGTTCCCTAATACCCCTTTCCCTGGGTTTCTGGGCGCCTAAGAGGAGGCTGTGCTTGCTGGGCTCTGAGTTACAGTCCCCCCAGACCTGAGGGCACGGAAAAGGCCCTTCAGGACCTGGTGCCTGGGAGTGGATGGGGAGGATGTTGGGACATTCGGCTGAGAGGGTGGCACAGGTATAGTATAAAGACATGTTTACATTTATGTAATTAATACTCTCTGCTGTCTCTCCCTACCCCCTTCCTTTAAAAATATCTGCAGACAGTGATCAATAAAAGCAGCGGGCACTCACTAACGTCACCTGTCAGCTATGCCTTCAACGGGCCAGGAGCAGACAGTGGGTGATTCGAGGCTGGAGCAGACAGTGGGTGATTCGAGGCTGGACACTTCTTTCCTCAGGCACGCTCTCAGGGCAAGGCAGAATGGTCACGGCCAGGGAAACAGAGACCCGAAGTCTTGGAAGTAAGTGACCTTCCCAAGGCCTTCAATCACCCGGTGAGTCACTGAAGCAAGCCGGGACTGTGAGCCTGGCTCTAAGCTAGCAGTACCGAGTCCATCGTAGCTTGTGCTTGACCCTGGGCTTCCTTGCTCTTTGGCTGAAACCCATCTCCAACCCTGAACCCTGAAGAGGTTCCAGGCTCCTGTCTGTCTCTTCTGCTTCTGCGACGCGAGGGGCCAAGTCCACGGAGAGAGTGCCTTCCTGGCTAACCTGGCCAGCATCAGCTCCTGAGAGGCCGCTGTGCGCCACTGACCATGGTGCTGAAATAACCGCGTTGGTTCAGAGGGAGCAACTTGCCTGGGAACCTAAGGTTCTCAATGCGGAAAACCACCTATCAATCCCCTTTAGTCACGTTTTTTTCAGACCCCCTATAGACATGCAGACCCAGAAGGCTGGCAGGCTTCCGTGGTATGGTGGAGAAAGCACAGGCTCTGTTACTACTAACGGTGTGGCCCCAGCAATGCCTTTTTCTCTCTGGTTTTCAATTAAACCCCTTTGCCGCCCTATGACCCATTTCCCTTACCTGTAAAGTTGGAACAATAAGAAGTAGCTACTAATTGGGCCGGTTAAGTGTGCTTGTGTTTAGCATGGGTCATGCTGCCATAAATGGTAACTGTTATTATCTTCATTTGCCTCAAATTCTCCTCATTCTCCCAGGTTTCTGTTTTGGGGGGCAGGAAGAAGTACTTTCGTAGGGTTTTGAATTTCCTACGTACCCCTGGGCAGTGCAAACTGGCCCAAAGGCCAAGGCCACCCATCCCTTCCTGGTGTCCCTCCCGAGTTTAGATCTGCCCTTCCTGCATTCCAGATATACATGTTCAGACGTCCATGAACATTAACCATGGAAGGATGATAGAACTTGCTCAGACTCAGGCCTTTTAATTAAGGAGACAAACTGAAACTCTTGCTATCCAAAGATCATCACCAGCTACTCGTACCTCTGTTGCAATAGTTATCTATTACTGCCTAACAGATTACAAAGCGCACACACAAACTTAACTACTTACACTAGAAACCTTCGCTGTGTGGGTCAGGAATCCGGGTGGGCTTAGCTGGGAGCCTCTGGCTCTAAGTGTCCCGGGGCTGCAGTCAGAGA